CCATAAACTCGTCTCAGCCCAGCTGGAGTGGACTGCAAGTGCCATCTCGACTCTGCTGATGCCACGTGGGCACCCTCAGCGGGACTCGAGACAGGACAGTGTCGAGAGAGAAGCCTGCTTTTTCACGGTTCGAGTCCCGCTTGAGGTGTCGAGTTGCGCTGCAACTGCGCCTGGACGAGAACAGCTTGTGTGAAACGAGACTGTGTGAACGGGACTTGGCGTGAAAGTTAACGTCTGCTCATGGGATTTTGGGAAAAGATGGCAACGGAATAAGGCGAATACACTTCAAAGATAAATCATCTACTGGCTGTCTCGACAGACTACTTGTAAACGAAACAACATTGTTTTGCAACTGTTTGATCCAGTTTTGCCACGACGACAGAAAGAAATGTCTCTCTCTTGGAGTCCATAATTTGCATAATACCTGCCAGAGTCGAACTGTGCACTCGGTACATTCGCATTACGTCACAACTCGTCAAAAGAGACAAGCCGATGCCAGCCGCGAAGGGAAGCACAGTTGGCTCATATCAATAAACTTTTTCGCAATTTGATCCTGTTGTCAGGACAACCAATCCTGTCCCAAGTCGTCTGATTGGCAAGACAACCGGTTATACTCACTGATGATCTCCGTGAAACATGTGAGAATGTGCCAACTATGGGAATCATCACAGTTACTATGGCAGAGAAGTTCGGATAAAGTCTGCCTAATTAGCTCGCCTTGACAACGGGCAAAATGAGAACATGAGATCATACTACTTACATACTACTTAAGAAGATTGCCACCACAACATCACAGTCTTCTATGCCATTCGATGAGCGAGCATGAGAATTTAGACTAAATGAATTATAACTCAGTCGACTGGGCTCGCTTGAGCCGATCGAAGGTGTGATGGTTAATTGGGACTACACAACACGATGCGTAAGTCTCAGAATGCCAGTCAATTTCAGCCAACATTATCGCCCAAAAGATAATCCAAATTCCGGCCGTGCTCGACAGAGGGAGTCGAGCCCGAGTCGTGAATATCGTTACGGCGTTACCAATCGATTACGCAGCCACATTTACAGCGTGATTGTCGACTAAAAATGCGTGTATTAAACGAGACTACTTATTTTCCATATGAGTAGTCTGTGAGTCTGGTGGAAAATTATACTATAAGGCAGAAATGGTCGACATGGCGGTGATCGTGACACTCAAGCGTGTGTGTTAATGTTGCCAAGTCTGCAGCTGATGGTATGCGTGGGGTGTTGTCATGAGGACGCGAAGTGGCAAGTTGCTGTCAACATTGTCTGGTTGACTGGTTCGACGGGACTCGAACTGGCCAGAACCTCTGGCGCCGGCCAATCACGTCTGCCTAATTGTACATTGTCAGTTCTGGGTCCGCTGAAGCGAGGCAGACTGGAAAGCGTGACTGATGCTGCCGATTGCCTCGTGACTCGGACTCGGACTTGTGGCCTCCTCGAGACAGCCGCCCACTCGAAAAGCAGCACATT